CTCCTCCTCCTCCTCCTCCTCCTCCTCCTCCTCCTCCTCCTCCTCCTTCTTCGTCTTCTTTCCAGCTCCATTCTTCTGTGCAGGGCAACCAAAGAAGACCCAGCCAATCAGCTGGGACTCAGGAGGCAGAGAATAGATGGAGACATTTTTCATACATTTCCAGATATTTATTCTGTATCTGAGAAAGCTGGGCATCATAAATCAAGATGGATCATACAAGGAAAAGTGTAGAGGGGAGTGGAAAAGTAAGATAACGAGAATCGGATTCCTTAGGATTTGACAGGGATGAAGGGAGAAATTTCAGAATTGGCTGAAGGGGGACATTTCTCTGTACAGTTTGGGTTCTCATCCAGAGGTAGAAGTTACAGAGACATGGGTGTTCACAACTACTGCTACATCTCCAAAGATCCATCTTCTTCTACACCACCATAGCCCTGTCTTTTCAGGAAAATGGCTGGAAAAATAGGTGAAGGATCTGGAAAAGCGTGGAGGAGAATGTTTGGGCAGGTGTTAGGTGAAGGGGAACAGGGCCTTGAAGTCCCCTTGGGTGGCAACCGGATTCCTTTGGAAGACAATAGTCAGGGAGGATTCACATATTCAAAGTTTCTCCTTGCCTTTAGGGCATCCCAGGAGAGAATGGCTTGCCGGGAGTACCTGGGCTATCAGATGGAAGGGTAGGTACAGGACTGCAGCGTCCGCTATTCCCTGCACTTGCTCAGCCCTGTGCTTACTGCTCTCCCCTTTGTGCAGCTGCCGCCATCTTCCAAGTGCAGAAGAGCATCCAAAGCAAAGCAAAGCAAAAAAAAAAAAAAAAAAAGGCAGAGCAACATCAATGAAGAATTGGTTAGGAACTCCCACCGCTTTTGGCAACAACCCTAGAAGCTCATAACTTCATTGTGCTTTTCTTCCTGTAAAAGAAAGCAAGACTAGAAGTACCTTTTTTCCATGCACCCTTTATTTCTCTTGCTTTGTCTCTCCATTGCAGAATCCTCTACCACAAGAGAGCATTTCTGTAGGAACGGTAGGACAATATGACCATCATCATCATGTTTCTTTTATGTAGTTCAGGTGGTCCTTGACCTATGACTGTTGTTAGTCATTGAAGTCATTCAGTGGGTCACCATGTGATGAGTCCCAATGTTATGACTTTTTATATCATGGTCATTAAGCGAACACTGTGGTGGTTAAGTGAATTCATTATACCCAATCGGCATATTTTGTTGGAAACTAAAAGTAAAGATCAGCAAAGAGTTGCCGAAAATCTTGGTCATGTCACCATGGGACATTGCAAATGGCCATAAAGATGAGCTAGTTCCCAAGCACCCAAAAATGTGACTGTGTGACCATGGAGAGGTGGGGGTGGCCATTGTAACTTCAAAATCGGGTCATAAATACATCTTTGTAACCACCTTATAACTTTGAATGGTCACTAGGCAATCAGTCATAAGTTGAGGACAATTTAGTACAATACATGTAGTCCACGACTTACAGTAGTTCATTTAGTGACCGTTTACTGAAAAAAATGACATAACTGTTTTTCACACTTAACGACCATTGTAGCATCCCCAGGGTCACCTGATTTATATTTGGATGCTTGACATTTTCCTCATTTTTATGATGATTGTAGTATCCCAGAGTCATGAAATTGCCTTTTGCGACCTTCTGACAAGCAAAGTCAATGAGGAAACCAAATTTAATTAACAACCATGTTAACTAATTGAACAGCTGCAATGATTCACTTAAATGTGGCAAGGAAAATCGTAAAATGGGGTAAAATTCACTTAACAAACTTCTCACTTAACAGCGTAATTTTGGGCTCAATTGTGGTCATATGTTGAGGACTACCTGTACAATATTGCAACACAATACAAAATATCAATCCTGAATTTGCTCATTTGGGTTATTGGTTATTCTGCAAAGAAAACTATGGATTTTCTGAGAGGGTTCAGGATACTGATCATTAAATCTATATTACATTTTTCAACTGTTCTAAACATTAACACAAGTAACTACTGTGGGAGCATAGAAGAACATGGGGAATTGTTGATTTATCAAGGGCTCAGAGAAAATGGAATACCATAGAAAAAGATGACAACCATAGGACTAGAAACTAGGTCTAACAGAGATACTGGGAGTTTTCCTTGAGAAAAAATGAATAAGCAAGAGATACGATAATGCTCTGGATTTCTTAATGTTGGCAACTTTAAAATAAGTGGACTTCAATTCCCAGAATTCCTCAGTCAGCATGGCTGGCTGGGGAATTCTGAGAGTTGAAGTCCATATATCAGTGGTGGGGTTCAAATTTTTTTACTACCAGTTCTGTGGCCGTGGCTTGGTGGGCGTGGCAGGGGAAGAATACTGTAAAATCTCCATTCAGAGGTGGCAATTGCAAGTTCTCTGAACTACTCAAAATTTCCGCTACTGGTTCTCCAAAACTGGTCAGAACCTGCTGAATACCACCTCTGCCATATATGTTAAAGTTGCTAAGGTAGCACTCTAGAAATACTCTGAAGCAAATCATAAGGAATTTTCACCAAAGCTGTAAAACTTCACCCAAGAATTATAGAGTATTATAAATTATTATAAAGAGTATTATAAATCATTTACTTTAGAGAGATATGAATGGCTGAATGAAAGTAGAAATTGATTATGTGTGGCCCATTTTCTATGATTTCAGAAGGCATGAATTTTTAGACTGATTTTTAGACTGATGCTAAGATAAGTGTTGCCTTATTGGGAAGATGGGCAGCATATAAATTAAATAATTGAGCAAAATTCAACTTTATGCGAAGAAATATTTCCAGGCACAAGAGCAGTTCAGTAGTAGAGTCAATTACCAAAGGAAGTTGGCGGACTGTCCTTCATTCAGCAGGTCCAAGCAGAAGTTGGATGGTCTTCCTTCAGGGATACTTCAATTTAGATTTCTCCATGAAGCAGAAGGTTGGACTCCGTGGTTCTTCCAGAATCAGACATGTATGAAATACTATCACTCCGTCTGATCCAGCTTATATCTCTAGCTGAGAAACATCCATTTATTTTTATTTATTTAATTTATTTATTTATTTGATTTGTCAATCGCTTACAAGATAATAGGTATAAGTATAAACATAGTTGTGAATATATGGAATGGATAATATAAGAAAAATAAAAAGAATCAACAGGACAGGGACGGTAGGCACATTGGTGCGCTTATGCATGCCCCCTACAGACCTCTTAGGAAAGGGGTGAGGTCAATAGTAGACAGTCTAAGGTTAAAGTTTTTGGGGTTTGGGGAAGAAACCAGAGTCAGGTAGAGTATTCCAGACATTGACCACTCTGTTGCTGAAGTCGTATTTCCTGCAATCAAGTTTGGTGCGGTTTACCTTGAGTTTGTATCTACTGTGTGCTCTTGTGTTGTTATGGTTGAAGCTGAAGTATTCATTGACAGGTAGGACATTGCAATGTATGATTTTATATACTATACTTAGATCAGACCGAAGGCGGCATAGTTCTAGGTTTTCTAGGACTAGAATTTCAAGTCTGGTGGCATAAGGTATTCTGCAACGAGTAGAGGAGTGGAGAACTCTTCTTGTGAAATATTTCTGGACTTTCTCAACTGTGTTAATATCAGATACATAATGTGGATTCCAGACTGATGAGCTGTATTCAAGTATAGGTCTACCAAATGTTTTGTATACTCTAGTTAGTAGTGTGATATCACCAGAGAAAAAGCTACGTAAGATTAGGTTAACAACTCTTAATGCCTTTTTGGCTATGTAGTTACAGTGGGCTCTAGCACTTGGATCATTAGAGATAAGTACTCCAAGGTCCTTGACAGAGTTTGGATCATCAACAAGGTCTTGACTATTCAACTTTTATTTTCGGATTTTTTGGGGGGGCAATATGTAAGACAGAACATTTATTTGTTGAGATTTGAAGTTGCCATTTGTTTGACCATTCTGACACATAGTCGAGGTCTTTTTGAAGGGTAGCAGTATTGTCTGTGGTGTTGAATAGCTTTACATCATCAGCAAAGAGAACACAGTTGCTCTTAATATGATCACAGAGGTCATTTATGTAGAGTATGAAGAGAGTTGGTCCTAGAACACTGCCTTGGGGGACACCACTGTTGGCAGGTACAGAACTTGATAGGACGCTCCCAATTTTGACCATTTGTTGTCTGTTTGACAGGAATGCTTCTATCCAGTTATGCAGGTATCCAGAGATACCATAAGATTTTAGTTTTAGTAGTAGTTTGTACCACTGAATCAAAGGCTTTACAGAAGTCTATGTAGATTGCGTCTATTGCTTTGTCTTGATTGAGTTGTGTAGTCCATATGTTTTTGCAGTGTAAGAGTTGCAGATTACAGGATAGTGTTTTTTTTCTGAAACCAAATTGTTTATTAGAGAGTAGGTTGTTTGTCTCTAAGTGGAGGATAATGGATTGGTTAATAATTGATTCCATGACTTTACAGGTGATGCAGCATAAGAGATTGGTCTGTAATTTTCAACTAGGCTGGGGTCTCCCTTTTTGAAGATGGGGATGACCGTGGCTAGTGACCATAGGTTTGGCAAAGAGCTGGTCCTGAAAGATTTTTCAAAGATTATGCTTAGAGGTTCAGTTATGGCAGTAGATAGCTTTTTAAGAAGTAGGCACATATTCCGTCCGGTCCGATAGATAGAGATGGTTTTAGATTGTGTAGTGCTTTTTCAACATTGTCTTCTGTAAAATCGATATATATTAGATCATCTGTGGTTCGACTAGGAAATACTGGGCATGATCCATTGCTGTTTACAAATACTGAGCCAAAGAATGTGTTAAAGAGGTTGGTTTTAATGGTGTCATCGTTGCAGTCTTTACCATTAGGTCCTTTCACGGGTGGGAAGGAGCTTGCCTCTTTTAGTTTGTTGTTTACAAAATTGTAGAAAGCGCGGGTGGAATTGGTGCATAGAAGGTTTTCCTCTTGTTTAATGTGATAATTGGTGCATTCAGTCTTTATCTGGTGGCATAAATTTTTGTATCAGCTTTTGAAGTTGGCAACATGACCAGATTTGTTTTTCTGCCAAAGTGATCTCTTTTTGGACTGAAGCTTCCTTGTTATGAGTAATCTGTTTTTTTCTGGTTTTAGGAGTTGTTATTGGTACATATAGTTTGATGATTCTTTTGACTTCAAGTAAAAATATGTTGTAATGGTCTTCAACAGTATTGCATCCAGTGAATAGAAATTGCCAATCAAGGGATGAGAGATCTATAACTAAGTCTATAAGATCATAGTTGCCTTTTTTGAAGTTATAATTGGGAATCCTGTCGTTATGATGATTTTTGTGTGGACGTATGTTGAGACAAAAGTCAATCATGTTGTGGTCACTGTTGGAAAAGGGTTCTTTAATTTGTATTCCATAAATTGAATTCAAACTATTGCAGGAGATGAGATCGAGGCAGTTGTTAAGCCTAGTATTGTTGGTTACTAATTGTTCCAGTCCCAGATTTGTTACAGCATTGTAGAAGGTTGCATGTATGGGTTCAGTTGTACATTTGTTTAGGGTCTGGTTAATATGAGGTAGATTGAAGTCACCAAGAAAGATAAAAGCATGTGGGCAGGATGCTGCCCATGTTAGTGGTGTATTTAGCTTGTTTACATGTTCGATGTCATAATCAGGGGCTCTGTAACACAGTAAGAACCAAAATGTAATATTTAAGGACAGTTCACAGACGATGGTCTCAGGAATAGCAAGCTCCTGGGTAACTTGGATGTTTTTTAAATGTAGGGACTTTTTATAGAAGATAGCAACACCACCTCCTCTACGGATTTCATGATCTGGTCGGTAAACATGGTAGTCTCTTACTGTGGTAATGGAGTCAGGGAGAGATGCGTTGAGCCATGTTTCACAGAAAAATATGATGTTGAATTTAGCTGTATTTAGTAAGAGGAGACATTCAGGTATTTTATTCACAAGGCTTCTTGCATTGAGTAGCTTGCATTTAAGGCCAGTTGTAGTTGGAATTGAAGTAGTTAGGGGTGTGCATGCCTAGTTTTGAGTGATGGTGGGATGGATGTGGTAGGGTTGGATGCTGAGTTGTGGGTTGTGTGACTTACTTTGGATACAATCAGTGCAGTAATCAATGTACAGGTCCTTCTCTCCATTGTCTAGACGTCTTTTGAATTCAGTGTGGAGTTCACGGGAGCGGATTCTTTGCAGTATGGATAAGTCTGGTCTTGAGCGAAGTTTTTTGTGGTTGGGATTCGTTTTTGCAATGGTGTTTATTATATGAATGAATATACGTTTGCTGGACTCATTTTTGCATACAACTCTACAAAATTTTGGGGCCACCGAGCCATCATTATATTTGAACTCAGGGCCATCTCTGGTTATTTCAATCCATATTTCAAGTGGTAAACCTTATCAGACTTACATTCTTTCTCTTCTCTTATAGCAAACCTACTGTGCAGATTGCAACTCCCAAAGCTCTAATGGGATAAAAGGAGAAAAGGGAGATCAGGGACAACCCGGAGCTCCAGGAATAGATAATTGTGCACAGGTGAGTTATCTCTGAGTCTCTTCAGCCACAAAGCAGATTCAGTGGGCTTGCAAGGGTGTCCATCTGAAACGCACACACTTTCAATCATTGTGCAGTCACACTGCATATGTGTGATGGAATCTCCAGCTGGACTGGAGGGAAGCATTAAGAGGAATCCTCGCATTGCAGAAAATGGCACAGGTCTTCATACATACTTCTTCATTACAGACACCAAACTCAATTTCATGCTCATTTTTATATTCTATTCCATATCTTATTACCGTTTTATATTTTCTACATAGTTTTTCCCCTCTTTTAATTTTCTCAATGTTATTTTAATTATCTCATCTCAATTCAAATAATTATATTTATACTTTTGTCTGTCCTGTTTCAATTTCATATTATCTTTTCTTATTAAACAAATTTTTCCCTGTAGTTACCAATTGGAGTATGACACCTTTATATCCTTTAATTTTATCCATTCAAACTCTTATTTAAGCTTCAATGTATACCTTTAAGATTATAGCATTCAATATAATACATAACTTCCAGTCGAATTCTGCTTGGTACATTCTTAAAATACACATGATATTCTTAAAAGGAAAAAATTATATATATATGTAAATAAAGCACACATTCCATTCCAATTCAATTCTATCATTAATATTCATTAGAATCTTAACATCTTTAACATTTCTTTTCAATTAAATATCATACTTCCTTGGGAACACTTATAAACTTTCCATAGTTAATTCTTTTTTTCATATTTCTCACGTATATTGTTATAAATCATTACTAATAATTAAAAATGTTCCCTTTTAATTCTCTCAATCATTTTAGTTCATTTATTTATTAACAAACATCCCACTGCATTACAATAAATATTTTATCTATCATCATATTTTCTAAAGGTATTTCTATTTGTAATATAACAATGCTATCTTATGTAACTTTGCAGAATCCCTTTTGCAATTAAATTTTCACCCATTATCTCTAAACAAGCTTATGGTTACAATCCTTATATCTTTTCCCTGTTTCTCCATTTCTTGTTTCTGTCTTTTACAACTTCTTTTCCTTGCCTTCTTCCCCCTCTTCTTCTCCCTCCCCTTTTTACCCCCTCGTCTCTCTACTTCTAACTCTCTCATCTGTAATCCCCTCTTCTGTTGCTTTCTAATCTTATACTTATTTTCAAATTATTATTATTCTTTTTGGCTGTTTTTTCTAGTCTTAAACCTTTCACTCTCTTTCCCCCCACTTAAAATTATTTGATCATTAAAGATGGCTTCTTCTTTGTCCCAATCTTCTTGTTCTGCAAGCGTTTCTTATTGTTTCTCATAGTTCCAGATCTCCATTTCTAAGAATTGAAATACGAATCTTCTAAGAGTGATACCATTTTAAAGACTTTTAAACAACCACTCGGTTAATTTTAGTCATCCAGATGCATCTGTTGCTAAGCAAGACAGTTGTTAAGTGAGTTTTGCCCCATTTTCAGTGAATCACTGCCGCTGTTAAGTTAGTAGTACAGTTGTTAAGTCTGACTTCCCCATTGACTTTGCTCGTCAGAATGTTGCAAAAGGTGAACACATGACCCTGGGACACTACAGCCATCATAAATACATTCCAGTTGCCAAGTGTCCAAATTTTAATCATGTGACCATGGGGATGCTGCAATGTTGTGTGAACAACTATCATAAGTCACTTTTCTAAGTGCCATTGTAACTTTGAATGGTCACTAAATGAATACTTGTAAATTGAGGACAGCCTTTTCAAGTTTTTGGCACTTCCTGCCCAATCTCATTCAGTGCCATGAAGTCCCTCATATCACTATACCTAGAGGTGTATGTTGGTACCTATTTTTCATACAAGTGAAAGTTTGGTACTCTTGAGCAAGATTATAAAATCTTTTGCACTTTCTCCAAATCCATATTCTGGTCATAACATTCACATGTGGGTTACTTAAAGAAATACAATCCACCATAGTTGTTATGATGTGTACAGAATAACCTTTGAGTAACAAGGATATGCACATGGAAACGTTTATGAGAGTAGTTATGAATAATTATACAGCCACACTCAGATACACTAAATTGAGTTAAAGTTTACTTGAAGAAATAGCACAGTCCAATAAACGGTCCAGGTCATATATGATTTACAGTCCAAAGAATATCCAATTACAAAATCTTACCGGTTGCCTTTGTCATTTCCACTAAACAAAAATATCAAAGTATAAGCACAGCATAAATACAACAGAGATACTGAATGTCAGAGATACAGCATGTCAGAGAGAATAAGCCATGATCTCTAGCACCCTCTTATGGCAACCTGCAATACAATCAACCAATCGGAATATAGTATAAATCAACACAGTGATTTTGTCTTAAAGCTACAAACATACATTGCTGGTTTATATATTGCCAACCCAACTAATTGGTGGACAGATTCCTAACAATAGTCTTTTAGATCTCATATAGCAGGAGGCATTCCCAGTTGAAGTTGGATGATCTCAAGGTTTGGTTTGGTTGATATTTGGTTTGGAAGGATGACAAAACCCCAGACTGAATGATAGATTGTGAATTTTAAAAATATTCAGTAAAAGAGTAGTAAAGCATTTCTGTATCATTGCCAAATGAGCTATTAGATATTTCCAGCAGTCGTGAGAAGTTGAGTTCCACTTAAGGATGTCTTGACTTGACTTAACACATTGAGATTTCCCAACCAATTGAAGCAAATTGGGGATACTATATCTCCATCAGGTTCACTGACCTGAGCAATTTCTTTGTGTGATTCCATAAATACATTCAGGTCTCCTGTGCTGCCATATATCACAAAGGGGAACAAGCCTAAGTGCAATGCCTGACCCACAATTTATACCTTACCATGATCACAAGGGGTCCTGGAGCATGCTCATCAGTTGCCAATTGCTTTATTGGCATCCTGAAAAATATATAGGCTCAAAAGAAAACTTGAGTGGATTCTTCAATTGAATTAGTCCTGCACTGATCAAGCAAATTTAGTATCTGCAGAACTTTAGTGTGCCGTAAATTCTGGACTAGGAATTAAACTCACGATGCATCTCTTCTACTTTCAGTGCCACACTGAGTTCCGTGCAGAAGAACCCCAGGTGAGTAAATCTCTAGGCCAGATATTTATCCATAAGGCTGCAAAGGAAAGATAAAGACATAACAAATTAGTATCACTTCTTTTCTACCAAATAATATGCAAAAAACAACAGGATACCTATTTCTTTGGCAAATTGACTTGGAGCTCATGTGCTGCTGTATTTGACCCAACTGGCACCAGCTGAAAACTCCTTAAGTTAAAATAGTTTCATTACAACTGAGACCTTCTGTACTCAGGAATCAATTCTCACCAAAATTATATTGGGAATTAGATCTTTCTAAAAACAAGCCATTTGTATGGGCCTTTGCAAAGCTGTTTTAAGTAGTAGTTCTTCTGGAAAAATTGGACTGCTGTCTAAATAAACATTTCAATGAATTTTTTAAAGGATATTGGCTATTCACATTTCTGAAGTTATGTATTTTAGTTGTGACCTTAAGTTGGATAGTAGTGTGGTATTATATTAATTCTTGATTCTGTTGATACCATCAATTATTATTATTTATTTTGTCTAGCTATCGGTATATAAAGACAACAACTATTACTTACTGGTAATACATAAAATAGTAGATATTGTAAGTTGCCCCAAATCTTTTGGAATGAGTGGCCATAATAAATTTAATTACCATCATCATCATGAAATGATGGTTAGTAGATGGTTGTTTCACTGAAAGCTGTCTTCCCAACAGTACAGTTGTCCTTAACACCAAACACAGCCTTAATATTCTTGACCCAAGCCATTTCACTCTTTCTCTAAAGAGTGAAACATAGTCACTCAGTGACTATGTTCATTCAACCCTCTTAACCACACATGGCCACACATTTCCAAACTTGGTCAGCATGCTAAGTTGGGTTGCATGAACACACATCATTTGAGTAATCTAAGGTTCAATAGTTTTGTAAAACTTGGGTTAATCTAACAGAGCACATTGTGTGCATGCAGCCATTGTTTGAGCACTGAAGCTACGTGACAAGAACTAGGTTTGCTAGAGATGAGAGAAAACAGCTAGAAAATGTCTAAATCCAGAAAATATTTTCTGATGCCAGCTGTGCCATGGAAAATGGGAAAAAGAATTATCACCCAACTGCCACAAAGCATTCAAAATGGTGCAATTGTTCCTGTATTGCACAAGGATTGTGCAAATAATTGAGTGGAGTAAAAGAAACAAACACACTGTAAATAAGCACCAAACAATTCCGACTAAGCATGCTTAAAATGTATGAACAGTCACAGTTTTTCTATAAAAGAATTAAAAAGATAAAACAGCTGTTCAAAAGGCTTATTTGTTTTGTTTAGTCCCAGTACTCAGGAACATTTGTGGACCAGGTGTCTCCAAACGGGGATTTGGTGGATCTCTAAGTTCAGGACACTCCAGAGTTTGTTAGCAGTCATTAATAAATTAAAAAATGCCAAATTGTCCAAAGTTATTACTGAGTTGATATTCTATGGTTGATTTCCCTATGAATATTTAAAAATTTCCAATCCAGCTGGAGCTGGTGGCAGAAGTGTCTGCAGTCAAAAAATGTCAAGGCTACAACTGCAAGATTAACTGCATGATGCCCTCCTGGAGTCACAAAGAGCAGGTGGCCGTCATGATAGGAGGACCTTTGCTCCATTTTGTACTGTGCACCAGTTACACGCTTCCCTAGGCAGGGAGGCCTCCTGCTAGGCCACTCATCTCAATATGTTCTGCACTACCCTTGAAAAGTATCCAGAAGCTTCAGCTGGTACAGAATGTGATGGCACGGACAATCTTGGGCACCCAAAGAACCGTGCAGGTAACGTCTCTATTGCACAAGTTGCTCTGTTTCTTGGGCCAATTCAAGGTGTTGGTGATTCAAAGCCCTACATGGCACGGGGCTAGGCTACCTATGGAACCATCTTTACCTCATCACATCATTCTGTCCCACCCAGTCAGGAAGAGAAGCTATCTTGGAGGCTTCTGGTGGCGCTTCCATCAACAACGGATCAGAGACCGTGATTGTGCGCGGCCTCAATCTATGTTTACCTTGTCGGAGGGTCCCAAACGGGACTGGATCTACCTCGGAGGGGTGGGGAAAGAGGGGGAGACTGCCAGCGGGGTCAAGGGGAGCCGCATCTCCCCTCCCTGGCTTGGCCTACTCCCCTTGAAGACAGGAGTAAGCGGCAGTCTTTAATGGCTGCACTGAAGATGGGAAGCCATTCGGGAAATAAGATCATGCTGAAGCAGAGAAGAAGTCGGCAGTGTGGAGACCAGGCAAACTAGTTAACATATGGACACTAAGGTACCCCAGAATTAAGCTAAAAAGAAACCTTAAGAAAGAAAGATAGTAAAAGCGGCGACCAGAAAAAGTGGGGGAAAATTGACAGCTGAAAGTGGCTTTGAACTTTGAAAAGAGCTAAATTCAAGGAGGAAGCGAGAAGAAAAAACTTGTTTAAATTGGATAAATATATGATTTTGGCACTAAATAGGCAAAAATAAAAGCTGGACTTGAATGTGCAAAAAAAAAAAAAACAGTAATTGTTAATTGGACTTAAAAGCCCTAATGAGAGAAAAGTAAGTGTGGGGGGGTGGAACTTGGACATAACAGACAGCGCCATCAAATGGTAAAAGAAAAATTTTAGTGACTCTTTAAAAATGCCTGGTTCTTTCAAAAGTGGAATTTGATACAAAATAAGAGAAACTTTGTTTCAATAAAATAGAAACCCTGGAAAGTGAAAGTTGAAAATACAGAATATCAAAATAAAAGAAAGAAACGTGAAGAAATTACTCTGGGATTGTTTGGTGATTTGGCATAAATTTAAACTTATGGACACTGGACTGTTTGATGAACTTGGAAAAAACTTAAAGAGGATTTAATGGAAGTTCATAGTTGGAAATAAACATCAAAGACACTGGTTAAATTAAATTACTGGACAATTGGTTTGGATTTAAAGACTAAAGAAAGGGATAAAGAAAATATAAAAGAAGTGTTTAAAAATGGCAGAACTTTTTTTGGAACTAAAAATGGAATTAAGAAACATTAAAGAAATGTTACATGAAAGAGGTGAGACATTACTACCTAGCTTTACAATAATTAGAAATGGCAATTTTGGAGTATGAAGAATTAAAGAAGATGCCAGCTTCAATGAACAAAGGGAGCAATGAATATTAAAGCAAAAGAGAAAAAGAATAGGAATTAAAACTTGGATATTTGAGGAGGCAATTAAAAAGGGAAATCTTTTGAAAGTCAAAGAATATGAAAATAGCAGAAAAGGGGATTACAGAGGGAAATTTTAAAGAGGGAGGGGATAAAAACTGGAGCAAGAAATGGAGGGGAAAAATGAAGGCAAAAAAGAAACAATAAGAGAAAGGACCAGGAAACAAGGAGATATGGAAATTGTACAAAAATGAAAAGAGACTGTTTAGTCAAGAGACATAAAGATAATGGATAGATTAGAGTTAAGAAAGGGGCTTCTGCAAGGTAATGTGGTGTAATATAATGGCATTTGAAGTAATAAATTATCTAGGATATAGATTCTCAAAATGTAAAGATTGGAACTGATGTTTCTTTGTTACTAGACTACTTGATATTGTTAAATTACATACAGAGATAAATGGAATAAATGTGGGGAAAAGAAACTATGATAAATATGCTAATATGCTAGTCCTTGACTTATAACCATTCGTTTACAGCAGGGGTGTCCAACCTTGGCAACTTTAAGACTTGTGGACTTCAACTCCCAGAGTTCCTCAGCCAGAAAAGCTGGTGGAGGAATTCTGGGAGTTGAAGTCCACAAGTCTTAAAGTGGCCAAGGTTGGAGACCCCTGTTCTAGACCATTGCCACCCCTCCTGCATGGAACACTCCCCCTCACAGACCTCTTGACAAAGTGCTCTCAAGCTCTCAGAGGAGCATGCAGCCTTGGGTCTGTTTAGTGCCCTGAAGCCATCCCCTCTTGCAATTACTGTTTTTATGCTTCTAATATTTTATTATACACCACCCAGAGTCTCTCTGGGTGAGAGAGATGAGCAGTTCTTAAATATAATAGATTATAGATGACAGACGGACGGAGCCCTGCTCTTCTTTAAAATTTCCCATAGGACTTCAATGGTGCGATTGCAGCCGCCATCTTGATTTCGTTTTTACCATTACCACCATTGCTGTTGGCTGGTGATATTAGAGAAATATCATGGAATTAGAATGGGGGTGGGGCGCTGGGGGTTGAAATATTTCTTTCTCTATGTGACTCCGTTAGGCAAGAGTTTTGAGTGCTATTGCAGTCTAGGAGCCTGCAAGCGCATTTTCCATTTAAGAAAAACAATGGTTGGCTACCTAATAATCTCCCGATGTGGCGTCTAGTCTGGCCTTCAGAATAGCTCTAAGCCTAGAAATAGTGTGTCTGTGCCCAACAAGGCATGTAAATACACAAAGCAGCCCTGAAAAATTCACTCACACCATTTACCATGGGCCAAGGGACATGGAGGGTTCTAAACTCCTGTTCATTCATGCAATCAGTCCGGGGTTCTGACATTTGGTTCCACCAAAGATTGTTCCGTCCCCGCCCCCCCCCAAAAAAAAAAAAAAAAAAACCTCATTTGGCTCCTTGGAATTTTATTCATGGAATAAATAATTTTATCCATGGAATAAAATTCATGGAATTTTATCCCTAGTAATTCCCAGTCTCAATCCATGGCTATCCAGCAGTCAATTAAATGAGATTTCTTGTTGTTTGCTTGAAACAAACTCAAATGGATGTTCATAGGTACTGGCGTGGGTGGAAATCCAGATTTGGATGGAGGCAATTTACTAAGTGGGAGAGTGCTTCATTCTCAATATTTAATCTTAAATAATATTTAGGTTTGGTCTTTTGGAAAGCTTTAGAGTGAGCAGAAGCCCAGGAAGAGATAGAAATCTGTCAGGAAACAGTGACCACTAGAATTACTATGGCAGAAATGGAGCTTTCATCCAGCAGAGTCCATCTTGGGTTTTGAAACTGTTGCAGATCCTTAACCACTTGAGTCATCTTGTCTTCTCTTCCAGTCTGATAACAATGATCCTGATTGTGCTGGAGGACATCCTGGAAGCCCTGGCTATCCTGGACAGAGGGGTGAGCAGGTAAAGCCCCTGGAGAGATCAAGGAGCCAGGATGGTATTGCAGTTTCCTTGAATTCAGAAATGAATTTTGTCTTGGCTTCTCCTTAGGGCCCACCAGGCTTACGAGGCTCTCCAGGCCCACCTGGACCAACTGTAAGTATATCCTTTGAGCCAATTTCTGCTTAGATCTTTCCCTTAAGCCTTTACCCACTGCAGCATCATGTATTGGCATAATCTGATGCCTGTCTAAGAAACATGGAATGTAAAGCCACTTAAGGCCAGCCTTCCCCCTCAGGGGATGCTTCTACAACTGGACAGTGTTCAGTTGGGTGGCTGCTGTCCTGCTCTTCACCAAGAGCCCAGCTAATTCTGGTCCAACAAATGTCCTCTTTGCTCATCCACACCTACACCCATAAAGGGAGGGGTGTGCCACTGTTTGTTTTCTTGGCAGCTATTTGGAGCAATAGAACTTGGAAGTTTACACTTGAATTAAGCAGAAATGCATAATATGTTGCGAAGGATTGGCCTTGTCTTCAACGAAAGCTCCTTTGTTTGCCTGCTTTCCCTAGTCCAGCCAATGTGATGACTGAGTGATGACCTCCCTGTTTCTTCCTGTAGGGGCCCCCAGGTTTTCCGGGAATGACTGGCCCACCTGGATTACCTGTAAGAACCGATAAAGCACGCGCTCTGTGCAGTCCTGTGTTGCTGCTGTTTGTTTGGCTTCTCATCCTACTTCCTCCCTTCTTCTCCAGGTTCTGGGTCTAATATCTCAGCCAGCCTATTCTCCCATGTGCTGCCACCTGGTCTGTAGCTCTTCCTCAGTCCTTCTCCTAGCTCAGGGATGCTATGCTATCTAGAACTTTTCTTTCAGTCAGAACTTTCCCTTCCAACGATCAATTGCGATAGGAAACTATCTAGTTCCATAGGCAACAGGGGGTTCACTTGATCTAGAGAATTCCCCTTTAAGGGTAAGCTCTCAGACAAGATCCTTCCTCAGCCTTCCTTCAGAAAAGCACACCAGAAGACTCCACAATCCCAATTTGTGATGGGATATTCTGGGTTTGGAACTATTTATCAGGCAGTGAGTAGACTGATTATTTCTAGACAGCTGATATTTCTCCCCAGAGATATTTCATATCAAGTAGATTCCAACACACAATTTTCCCCTCAGGGCTTAGCTTATCAATTAGACTCTGGTCATGAATACCTGCTGAGCTGAATCCCTTCAGAGGAAGCAGTTGGACCCAGGTTCAAATACATACCTGAGAAAGAATCTGTGGACTTGAGAAGAAGCTGTCACTTTTCCTAAACTAAAGAGCCTCCCTTGTCATGTCTGTGAGTTGTGCTTCCAGCTCTTGAAACATCATTGTATCCTCACCTGACCATCACCACCATTCATTAATTCCTGATTTTCATCTCACTAATGACACTGTAACTCCCAGTCTGTGTGATTAATCGCTCCGTGATGTGGCCCTGTCACTGTCTGGTGTCAAGAGTACATCCAATAAAAGCCATCACCATGTAACCTCAACTAACTCTACCCTGCAATGGTTCATGAAAGCCTCCCACATTTGTGTGGGGTGTAATTAATGGAGATTCATTCTTGTATTATAGGTTGTGTAGGTCTTTCTCCACTTAGCAAGAAATTACAGTTGAGAGATGCTTGTGATGTGGGACTTTTGGATACTAAAGAGTCTCTGGAGACATCCCCATTGATTGGATGAATGCACAAGCGAGGTCCTACAAGCAACCAGTATCAACTGGGAGCATTACTTTCTCTCCTAGTCACCAGGCGTTCTTAGGGGAGATGCCAAACTGGGCTAGTATTTGCATTTAGTAAGAAAATTCAGAATCTCTTTGGGTCTATAGATGAGGAAATTGAACTGAAGCCTTTCACGGATGGACTCAGAGCACAAAGGGAAATGAATACAATGTTGGCCAAAATGCTTCATTTGACAATGGTTTTAGCAAGATAAGTATAAGTCCTTTTTTTTCTAACTTGGCCCTGCAGGTAGAAAGATTGTCCATTTTTCCTAGTTTGACTATCTGCAAGTAAGAAAAACAGTCTCAGTCCTCAAATCTTCCCTTTATAATTGGCACATCAGAATATAAAAACAGAAAAGACATCTGTAGGCAGCCTTTGTAAAAACAGTATTTCATAATTGCGGTGCAGGAAAAAAACCAACTTAAGTTAGTAAAAAGTGATTGCCTCCTTCCCTTCAACTGCTACACAATGAAAAAACATATTCTAGAAGCATTTTAGGAATAT